GGATGAATTGGGACTGCAAAGAAACACAGAGGAAAACTAACCCGATGAGCCCTTCGTCTGCAAGAGTAAGAGTTCACGAGCAATCTTTTTGCAGGTACTGAAAAATGTATGGTAGCAACTTTGTCTCTCATCCGTACGCGCTCTATCTCTCTCTCTCTGTTCGCGTGCATGCATGCGTATAATTTTGCTGAATCGATGCAGCTGGGTGTTCCGGGGAATAAATAAGGCAGTTTCTTATTGCAATCTCGCGCGAATGTATCATGCAGAACCACACCGATGTTTGATTCACAATTCCACCTAACCACGGTTTGGTCAACCGCACCCTTATCGTGGATTTGCATGCCGATCGGTTTTGTGCAGTCTCGTAAATTGGAACAGTTCCGACGTGCATAGCGGTGAATACGTCAGTAATGGAGTAGTGCCCGCACATTTCTGATGCGTACCATTAGGCCAAATGAACTTGACGAATCTCATTATAATCATACGCTTTACTATCAATTCATTCCGTCGACATTGAGGGAAAATACAGTGAATATGTCCTGCCAGGATGATTCCAGAAGTATCCGACAAAAGAACTGTCTTTATAGGTTTGGGCACAGGTCTTGAGTCAAGCTTACTGCAATTGATTTACAAATTGCGTTTGAACTCAGAATTGCGTTCCCTTCGTTGTGAGAGAGTGGAACAATGTTGATCTGACGATTCGCGCATGCTCAACCATCAGTTAACTGTTTCTGGGGGTTTAAAATGTAGCCCTCGATAATATTAGCCATTTCGAGTGTGAGCTAGTTGAAAAGTTCCTGCATACCCTTCAAGCGAGACGTACCCGGTTCAAAAGCTGGCTAGGCAGATGAGCATTTCAGTGAGCGAGACTGGAGATTGCCCGGAGAGTGCGAAATAAAGTGGAGAACAGGCGACATCTGCAGAATGATTAGAACGAATTGAAATAACGCTTAGTGCACATCGCTTCTCGCAACCGCGTTTGAGTAAGACATATCAAGTGCATAAAACTTTGATATCGCTCCAACGTGCTGGTCAAAATCCGTCTTGCAGGAAAGTTTAGACAGGAGGGGAAGCTTTGCACGCACATAGTGATTATGAGATTAGCATCAATCAGTCGATTTGTAAATACTTTCGCCTGGGTCCTTGAAATATACTCCCTCCCCGTTCAGAAAGCTTAGATAATTCTCTTTATTGAGACCACCCAGAAGACTCCAAGGCTGACGTACACAACATATTGCAGTCAATAATAAAATTCCTACTGCACTAGCCAAACATAATATTCTGGCAATCTTCCTCAATAGTACATGCATTGCAACAAAGTTACTACGTATTTGATTCATCTCAATAAAGTTTGAATACTAAATGATATTTGAATGCAATGGAAATGCTTGTGATACCCGACGAAGATCACTGGACAGCTGTTTCGTCCTGTTTGCGACTTGTCAGCAGTGCGTAATTTTTGGTTCCCTGTCCCTAATTGCACAATCTATACCTGGTCGACACAATGCGCCTCATCGGCCAGATAACTCGTCACCAGGAACGGGAGGACCATGTCACGTCTACCAGATGGATTAATTAAAAGATATGTCTTCTGCATGAACACGTGATCGGGGCAACATTTGCATTTTACCAGTTTTGCTCCCATGCGATACAAAATGATCCCGTTCGTACACCATTTCATCGGACCCATAATATATGCACAGAAGACTCATTAAACGATGAAAGTGACATTGAAAAAAAGAAGCACTTCAACAAAATGGTTATCTAGTTGCATTTATCGACAAACATTGCAAAGTAGCACCAAGTGGAAAAACCAATAAGTGCTTTCAAAATGAAAGCTTTCTTGAAGTTATCATACAAGGGTGATGAAATGAATAAATTAGCCTGCAAGCGGTTGAGCTCTGTCGTTGAGTGAGTCTATTACGCAATATCCCTGATCATTATCTGCACTACCACCCGAGTATCAACGATATCGATAAAAAAACCGTTGCCCCCCTCTCCTGCTCCACTAAATAAAACTGCATTTATTAATTCAAGCGCGGGTACTGGGTCATCTACATAGTCCGGATAGAGAGGCAGTTACGTCACCGAATAGCCGAATAAATCCCAGTATGGCTTAACAAATCAAAGGATGACAATTTAACTGCAGTGGAAATGTTTGTGGTAACCGACAGAGAGCACTGGACAGCTGTTTCGTCCTGTTTGGGACTCGACAGCGGTGCGAAATGTTTGTGTCTCTGTCAGTACTCGAGCCGAAAACCATCAAGAGGGCCCGCTGCTTCTGAACAATTGAATGGACTAATGCAAGCCTGATACTCCAAATTTAAAAGATATTATTTATGATTCAATTGTTGATCAGCAATTTTAAAAGCGTGATCTGCCCTACGGATCACGTATTCGCCAGAGGAAGACTACGGTTGTGAATATCTCAAGAATACTCACCCGGTTTGTCCCATGCAACCTGGTAGTATTTTCCCCACAATAAAAATTATGAGCATTGTTACAATAGGAAAATCAAATAACAGTAACATCCAAAACGTTCGGCTAACTTCGCTCATTGTAGGATTACTCCATGTTGCTAGATGTCTACCAATTTTCCGACGGTTGCAGTGACACGCAGACGAGCGGAACGTTCTGCCACGTATCACGACAAAGAATCACAAACAAATTCTCAAAGGAATGTTGGAGCCGATGATGAAATTCTTAGTCTGTTAGCGGTTGATCACTAAAAAACCGAGTGTTATCTGTACCAGAATAAATCATGATAACATGCATACGGCTGACCGTTACTTGACCGCAGTATCAAACTTTTGGTGCGTAGTACAGCTAAACCAAGTCCAATGACATCGCCCAAATTCATGCACCCGAAAATGTTAACCCCGTCGATCCCCTTCTCGTGAAGTTGATGTTTTCTTTCTGGTTTTATTTTTGTCCCTCACCTACCTGTCGGTTGAAAGATCCTTTCAGATTTGGGGGATGAGAAGAAAAAACGACTTCAAAGCTCAGGGTAACATATCGGCAAGGGATCCAACTTGGCTGCAATGGTGAAATTCGAAACCCTTTTTGGTGGGTCCACGTACGTAAAATCGGAAAAGTTACCACAAATTACAGCCAAAGCTGCCATAGGATTAACGAAATGCAACCACCGATGGATTAAATCCGGCGGTTTTAATGTGTGCATGTCTTTCTGTATAACCAAACAACATTCACTGCTCCAAAGTAGTTTCCTGAGTTGGCGGATTTCGTATTATTTAAGCATATTCTAAAGTTTGGATTTTGATTAGCCTATTCGGTTTTTCACAGGCACCAGGCACTTTTGATGATGTTCGGTGTGAGATTCACTTCTTGCGAGATTGTTAATTCCCCACTATTTGAATGCATTTAAATGCAATGGAAATGTTCGTGATACTCGACAAAGAGCATTGGACAACTGTTTCGTTCTGTTTGGGACTAGTCAGCAGTGCGTACATTTGGTGTTCCTGTCAGTACTCGAACCGCGAACATTTTGGTCGGGATTTTAAACTTCTAGCCATCAGCTACACGGTCGACGGTTATCATCTTTTGCGAATGGCTCACGCAGTTTAGAAGGTGAATTTTCGGATTAGCCTATTCGGTTTTCACATGCACCCAGCACTTCTGATCATAGTCAACAGTGCCTGGTGCCTGTGAAAACCGAATTAGATAATATATTTTAAAGTCTTTTTACAGTTAACTGACCGTATCTCACCTTATCTCACCAGATTTCTAGTAAATCATGTACTCGTTGCAGGAAATCTGCGCAAAATGCCAAACTAAACCAATCATAAACCCCCGGGTATGCCGTTGGTTTTTGATATTGCTGTCCGTTTTCACGTCCTTTAATATCTGTATTATATTGTTTTTTTACTTTTTGTTTACACACTGCGGTTATGTGATTGCTGAATATCCACCTTTCGAGGTGCACAAACCGATTATTTGACTTGGCTTGAGTTGACAGATGAGTCACTACTTCTGATGGATCGAATGAAAGCGTTTGTCATGTCTGTGTTACTCTGCTCCAGTTTATACTGTAGAAAACGTTATTTGCTAATGTTTTCTATCACTGTCAGGCATGATAAGTCGACGGCTTCGATAACACTCTAAACAGCATTATGTCAGTATAGAGACCGTGTAAAGATGGAGTGACTTATTGGTAGATTCCGAGATCCCACTCATTCCTTTTGGAATAATGATCGCGGTTGAACAACACACAGGAGGTTTAAATTTGTTGATTGCTTCAATGTGCAACTTAAAAAATGTTAGCTGTTTTTCTCTCGAATTCGAATTGTGACTGATGATCTACGGAGAATATATGCTCACTCTCAGGAAATTCGTTCGCTTCGTTTCCCGAAGTAAGTGAAAAAAGCAAACCGACAGAGAACGACGATCTGAATACAGCGAGATAGGGGATTATGTCACATTCTGTTGTAACTTGTTTCCCATTTCATACTACGATAAAAATTGTTAAGGAAACGCGATGTGGGAAATATTTCGTTTGACTTTGTTAGGAGAATGTGCTTTATTCTTCAATTGATGGTGATTAAGTCAATCCACCAAATCTATTTTAGTTCAATTATGGAGAAGTACGTGTTCAACTGTGTGGTCAAACAAGGTTTCAAGATGTCAACACGCCCATTCGGACCGCGACCATTATCCGTTGCGCTACAAAGTTGTGGTGCTTCACTCTCACTGTAATCTCGTTTGCGCTTATTCGTAGATCCGGTGCATAACTTAAGCTCGGACCACATGACCGGTTTCCGGTGCCTTTATTCATGAAGTTCGTATACGCAGTTCATTGTGCTGTTATTAGTTTATCCAATCAATATGCGTCAACCTTGATATCGTGTCAGAAACTCGAACCTGGACACATGACATACACATGGAATATAAAATAGTTATCATATGGTTTGTAATGTGAATTGTATCAAATAATAACACCAAAAGCGGTTCACAATCAAATTAATACTCGGGACTTTTAAAGAATGTCACTCCCACGGATGACCCGTTCACATGTGCTTGCTCGTCTAACCCTCATGAATCGATGGAATTGCTTGCTTCTTCGAGATGGACCTTGTGTTGCACAGCTGCACCGTCTACCTACCGTCCAATCTGTATCCCGCACCCGGTTGATATCAACTCAGTCTGGACCGATTGATGAAAAAGCCGAATCGCCGGAACCGAACTTTGCCGCACGCCATATCGGTCCGTCAGAGAACGACGCGGAACAAATGCTTCATGCATGTGGCTTTGCAGTAGGTCTATCTCACGTGTCTGTCTCTGTGCTTTGTATAGGAGTATCAGGTCCCATAGGAATCCTTTCACCCACAGTGCTTATACAGTCCTTTTTCAAGATTTATAATTTGTACAGGTAAAAACGATAACATATCAGTACTATGGACAATATAGCAACTACTTGAATTAGTCACATTTTGAATATCAGGTCCCCTAAATGTTTCCTGTTCATTTGAAGAATTAAAACGCAATCAACTGAATGATTTTTGAATTTTCATCCATGGAACGGTGATAGAACGAACTCACAGTCACTGTATGGGCAAGTGCTAAGTGAATACTGCCCCTGGTGTGGAAAACAGTAGTGTGAAGATTGACACTCTCGTATTAATAAATCCACAAATACGCTACACATTCGATTTGTCGAGTCCCGCCGTCTTGGAGTGGTCATCCATGTTAATAAATGTTAGACGAATAGATTCACTATAAAAGTGACCTAGTGACTGATTGATCGAATAAAAATTATTTGCCCTGATGCGGGCAGAAAAATCGTGTTGGTCACGTAAAACGACGAGTTGGGCTAGCACCGCGTTTCTCTGAAAAGTGCTCACAGAGCATGGGTGTGTTGTAAATGTATGAATGGAAGCCTACATCCAATGCGGAATCATGATCAAAGATTCAAACACTGAATCGATTTCATGGTATTTAAGAATACGTAGTGTTTACTAAATAAAATGTACTTGGAAGGAGAATAGAGACACGCATGAAAGAATTATTTGAAGGTTTAAAAGAGGCCGTGTGATATTATTTCAAACTTCTCTAGTCATGTCATTTACAGTGAAGCTAATTCTGCACCAGAAAGATTCTTACGTTGTTTTTCGATTTACGGCTAAACACAATGGGAAACAAAATCCAGTCTAGTGCATACTCAGTGTGCGGTTCAAGTAAGAATCATCATCATTATTTGAAACAGTCCGTCTCCACATGTGACGAGGTTCCATGAGATGCTCAGGACAGCTGTTCCTGTCTAGCTGGAGCGCGTTACTGTTCAGTGTTAAAACTCGAAACGCGAAATTCTAATCACAAGTTAAACGAATCAACATTGGTGCAACTAAAAAGATTATTTTCCCCTAACCTGAAACTTCATGGGCACTACTCTACATGAAATTATCTCTAAACCAGTGTGCGGTAAAATCCACGGTGGTAAGCCTGTTGTTAATCATAAAAGAATGAGCAGTTCGCATGACGAGCTATCGAAGCCGGGAACTACGGTTAAAATGATTTTGAATGCTATGCTCATCCAGTAAAAAAGACGGTCACTTTGCTTTTATAAACCGATAGCTATCAACTGCGGCTGTCATAAAAAATTTAGCACTGTCATACAAATCATTAGAGGGTGAATAACTAATCATTAGTTCAAAAACACCCGAAACCGATCAATCGATATTTTTTTACGATGGCTCGATCACGTGAGTAGCGTAGGCTATATACTACAAACACTAAATGTCGATGCTTCGGACCATGGAATATGCTCAATAGTGAAGAATGCACTGTGTAGACGAACAAGGTTTTGGTTAATTCACTTTTCAGCATTTATGTGAAACAGTTTCTGTGGCATCAGAGAGAAAATTGGATGAGTAAGATATGTGTAATGAAGCCTGAGAGAACTCCAAAATGGTATATTGCTGGGATTACATAACGAAAATTGGTTGTGTTATGTTGTGGTCATGTGCACAATCGGCATCGCTCAGGCGTGCAGTTTTCGACACTGGGGACGTTCCCTTTCTTCGTGTGGCGCTAGCTAGGTGGTAGGTGGTACCAAATTAACATTCTGCAGGACGTGAATTCGAATCTCTCCACCACCTTTGATTGACCGCTTCCCCTTACTGAAAGTGGTAGTTTTTTGTTCGAACGAAGTAAAACTGAAAACCAATAAAACGAAAATAGGTTCAGGTCCAAAGATAAATTATCAACTTGGTGATAAAACGTGTTATTTAAACAAGAATTGAGCATTTTGTATACATTTGAGCTTGAGTTCTTTGAGAGTTTGGACTGGGATGCCCACGGATATAATTTCTGTGCTGATAAGTGTAATCAGCTGTCTCTAACAAGCTATCATCCTTAACGAGAGAACCGACATTAGTCAAATGTTAATGTTCACATTTTGGTTATTTCAATGAACGGAAAAATGTCTCAAAATGTCTACTTGGTGACTCTTCAACGTCTAACTAGCCAACGAGCTGTTGGTTGGTGAAGTTGATTTGACATGGAAATGTTGGGAAATGAAAATCGCTTGTTTATTTGACCATGACGTAAAATAGCCAATTTTGATTGAGTAATCTAAACAACGTACCAATAGGGAGTTCTTTCGGGTGCCCTACCACACACATAACTCCTTCCCCCATCTTGTTTAGTCGTACAGACGTGTTTTCATATAAATGCGATTGTAAAGGTTTGGAAGGTGGTTGTTTGAATTAGCACATTCGGTTTTTTACAGGTAGCAGGCACTGTTGATGATCTTGACTGTGGGTTTCACTCCTTAAGGAGTTCGTTAAGTCCCCACTATTTTAATACACGTAAATACGATAGAAATGTTTAGGATAACCGACAATGTTTGAAAATGAGTTTACCGAATACATGTTCGCCTAAGTTGTTTTCTATACTTTAGCTTTTGATTTTTGGATTCGGCGGGTGTTGAATACATGCAATTTACAATTAATTATCCCCGAGTTTGTTGTCCTTATTGTGTCCGAGTGCTGCAACTAAGTGTCACTGAGAATACTCCGTATCAGGTAAGATTAGAAATGGAGAGAGAGAGGGAATGCGTTCATCTTTTCAAGCCAAACTGATAAAAGTAATCTAAAGCTATCAAGCTTGAAGTCTGTTCTCAGGTTGGTAGAAAAATGATTTCGATTCGTTTAGAAAGATCCAAGGGAAACGTAGTCGGGTGCTTTCTTTGAAAACTAGTATCAGTGGGAAATGGTCGCTGTATTTTATTATTGATAAATATACTACGAAATACTACACAATAGAGAAGCTAATGAGCATAGCACTTTTTGGATGCGAGTTGATAACCTGCGGTTGTACCTACGGCAAGGAATTGCCACTAAATGCAGGTGTGCATTGTTGTACCTTTTTACTTTTACTTTATTGTGGCTGGCTCGTTGGAAAGGATAAACCGGCTCCGGACATGATTATGATCATGCAGTTCCTTGGGAGTTTGGTAAGAGAGACGTCCCCAGTGTCACTCGGGGTATTTTTTATTTTGCGGGCGCACCTCTAGCCTTTGCACAACCAAGTGCAAACTGCAAGGCAGCAAGAAGTTTTCCCTCGTCTCGGAAGTGAGGGTGTCAATGACTTTTGTTTTAAAAAGCCGGTCACATCGACCTTTGTCACAACACCGTTATTGGGCTAATGCTACTTTTAAACAGGAGCCAGGTGACCAGCCTAAGACCCATTACACCCAGGTAGTGCCGCCGCTGTTTGTTTGCGACTGCTTATTCGTTGCGGTATGCCACAACTTATTCACAGCTCACCTTCTTCCGTGAAGGTATCCCCCTATCCGCAACCCGGGACGCGCCTAGTAGCATTCAGCTCTCTCTAACCCAAGCGTATCTAGGATTGTTGTACCTGCGAAGTTACACAACGTGTGCGGACCATTGTACCATTGCATATGTGGATTTACTGTTTGGAAGTTTGCTGATTCCCAACGTGCGAACGGAGTCTGTCCTGATTCGATTTCGCGTATTCAGGCCAGCTTAATGTTTTTTATTCTCGTGTTTCTTCCGCATCAATTTGAGACGGCGAAAATCATCAACCTGTTTCGAATGCGTTTAGTGCTCTACACTCCTAAACGTTTTGATTTCTGTAGGACGGCGAGGGAATCAGTGTCGACCTCGTGGGGCTAGTCAAGTTTCACTTACTTTTGTAGAAAGTGCAGGTGTAACCGTATTTTCAGTGTGCAATCAATCCCCCCCCCCCCAGAACAATGAGTTACTCCGTTCATTCCATGGAGCGTATGGATTCTGCTGGATCCCATGGTGAGCATGCTGCGCGACTAAGTCGCGTTCCTGGATTGAATGCGTTCACTGTGTCCCTAGAACTGAAGAATGAGTAGGCCGTACAAATTGAATACTCTCCAGAAGCACTAAAGCTGTTCATCCACGCTCTTATCTTCGAAGCCATTCATTGTTTTTTCCCAATGCACGGAGCTACGGACATCGTCAAATGAATGTGAAGGCTTCTATCGGTTATCTTGTTCGTGGACTTTACAAAAAGGTCCATTTATTTGACTTATTCTGGTATGGATTTAGGTGCTACCTTTTCAGTACAATACGATCAATCGCAATCGCTTTGCTCACATAAAATAGTACGAGCGCTTTAACAAAAAATACACAATTGACAGAAACGGGAATATAAATCGATTTGTCATACAATGTGCAAAGGATGAGCAGTAAATTGACTGCGAACTTTCGATACATGGCACAGTCACTCAAACGACTTTTTTTTGGGGTGGGGGGGTTATGGACATGACTATTCAGATCCCGCATCAGGACCAATAAGAAGAACGAACCCCAGGAAGTGATGGATAGTAAACGACGCGCATTCAAAAACGTCAGCCCACTGAGAAGTTAGAACCGACAACACTTTAGCTTCTACTGATTTTCGCATAAAATCCAAGTTGACTCATGCGATCAAGCCGGACCAAACAATCACCAGTTATTCAGTTTCGGGTGCTTGTTTAACTGACAGTCAGTTATTCCCCTAATAATTAGCTAATTATTTATTTATTTCCTCTTCCAGTCGAACCAGACAGAAGGAACTAGCTAATCATAAATAATTAGCTAATGCGTAGATGACAACTGGATCGTGATCAGACTTTCGTTGATTTCGTTTTCTGCTCTAAACTGACGTCATCGTTTCAGGCCGAAAACTTTACTGGATTGGAGATAGATAAATGCTCTTATGAGAACTTCAGATGAATTAGTTTAATCGAAAATGCAGCTAAGTTTCTCGCTGGCATCATACTCCGACGGTTTTCTGCCTCTGTTCAAAACCGTCTTCCACACAACCAAACTCTTTCGGTAGCCCTCTCGAACTGATCTTTCCCCGTTCTCTGAATGGCATTTTCTTTTAGCTGACTAGCTGTTCTACGCATGTCAACCAGCTGTTTCTCAAAATTTAACTACTTCCACTGGGTCGTTTCTGCCCCATTCTCCCCTACTCCCCTCCCGTCGCCCNATTCATTGATAAAGTTATTCCGAAAAATTTGAGAATTAAACATAAACTGAAGATTGACGAGGCTATCAGTAAGTACTTTTTTTTAATTTTATATTAAAATTAACATGCATATAATATTATTAAATTATGATATATGTTTCAAGTTTTTTATGGTGATAGTTAACTTCAATTGTGTTATCGTATGGTTGTACACACATGTATGTGTGGATTTTGCTTCTAGAAATTTGCCTATTCTTACTCACTTATAAGCGTTGGTTTCTTGCAACTGTATTGACACGGCTTAGTGAAAACAAGCTGTACCAGGGAATGTATCTACACATGCAGTTATTGATCGAACTCGTGCAACATAACTCTCATTTTGGAAGTAGATTTCTGTCTCCTAAGTCATACGTGTATTTCTCATTCCGAACTTTATCTCCCAATGCACTGTTTTTTATTCCATTGTCACCATTTGAGTTTGCGTGACCTTGAGTGTCGCGATAAAACACCTTGTAAAACTTCTAAACTTACAGCTCTGAATCGGAAAATATTTCATTTGAAGCCAAAACTGATTGGTGTTTCACGGGGCTGTATATTCTGGTCAGTATGAGAATTCTTAATGGCTTATTTTTTCATTCGGAGCACAAAAAATAATTTGAAGAATCAAAATTTTGTGGTTTAATAAACTGTGGCTGCAACCTAGGCTCGTGATGTCTCTCTGTAACGTGGAGGGCTTAGCCCACTGCTTCCACCGATTCGTAATACACAGAACGAGGTTGATCTCGGGTAACACGATCCGAATTTCTGATGCCAATAATACTGTCAGAATGCCGCTAACAAAACCCTGTTTGGGGTGTCGAGTCAACTCGTAAATGCGGCCCAGTACAGACGCTCTCAATGCACGGGTCGGAGACACTTCGGACAACAGGTTCTCCGTGGAAGGGGGGATTTCCAAACAATTTGAAAAACAGGGAAAATACAAACAACCATGGACCAAAAGGTCCAGTGAGATAGGCACACAACTCACACTCAATCAAAAATGGCGGCGACGTGCTCAACGTGCATAACGTTACACTCTCCTCCTACGAAATTTGACCTTGAGGTCTGTCTTCAGTATTCGTGTAACTTGGAAAGACAAATGGAATGTGGTCCACTCTATCGACAACAATAAATTTTGTTTGTTTTCTTCTTTCCTTTCTCTCTTTTGACCGAAATTTAAGCTTTGCGCCTACAGACTTTATAACTACAATACGACAGGTCCGATGAGTGGACACATAATTGCACGTATAAAAAATTATCGCGGTCGGACACGATGAACCGAATGTAGCAAAACCTGAACGAGTAATCGGAACCAATTCAAACAATAGCATTGTAAGCTCCTGTGGTAGTGAGATATCATGATCGCTTCTTCACTATATCAGCAAACTCGACTGAACTGACCGACTGAATTCACCTAAAAAATAAAAGGCGATCGAGTTTCAGCGGAGACGATGGCGTAAACACACACATACGCACTACTGGCGGTTCTTCAAGTGCAGATTTGACACATAAACACAGTCTTATGATAGGCTTCCAAGCAGCCAATCATAAAACGGAATTCTCGACCAATCTCGTGGTTGATTGATTCGGACTTCACCTTCACGCACATCCCCAGATCATCGATTCAACCATACACTTGGAAGCACTAACCTCGACTTTCGCTCGATTGAAGTTAACAGATTATCATCTGTGTCTACTTTCGTTGCTTTCGGGTCAAATGAACTGACTGAATATCACTGAGTAGAACCCCTAAACAAATATGAATTGACGATTTAGTTCAGCCATAGCATGAGCTGGTTGGCACAGTGGTAACACACACGCCTTCCATGTGATTGGTCCGGAATTCAAATGCTGGACGGGACGCGGGTGTGCACCACTGATGAGTTGTAATAAGAGCGAAACTCGAGTTTACTGCTTCCGAGTGTATGGTTGAATCGCTGAACTGAGGATTGTGCGTAAATGTGAAGTCCGAAGGATAGTCAGTTCCAATCCATCAATATCATTTTACCCGCATACACACTACTCACAAGTAACTGTGAGTCAAACGTGAAGAGCAATCTTGTAGTCTCACGCACAAGTAATCGGATTAGCTGAGTGCAGGAAAGTTAATCAAAGGTCTATGTGGATGCCGTCTGGACACTGAACAATCGACCAACGACAGATTGATACTTGCAATATTTATTTTCTTACTTTTCCGAATAAAATTGACTGTAACCACAGCTTCTCTCGGACCTATCTGATTTTGCGCTATTCCATGGGCTTTCAGTCCCAGTCCGAGATCATACTACTCACTTTCGACTACCATTTCGAGTGTTATACTGTACCAGCTTTCTTACTCATCCCATAATCCTTTAGTAGCAGAAAACTACGGATTCGGACGAAGGTAAGTACCAACCCTTGCGTCAGGTTGGTCGGCGACTGAGCGTCTTGCTTTTGTAGGATCTATAGCTCCTCTCATACGGTGTGCAATAGTTTAACGCTCTGATATAAAAATTCTCCAACCAACGCAATTCATTGGTTTCATTTGTTCAAACAACAACAAAAAGAGAACCTTTTATCTGAATTCGTGGTGTATTTCAGGCGAGTCCGCCATTCTCAAACGTTTGGAACAGATGATGAGCAAAAATGAAGTTTGGCGCTCGTATATCGGTCAGGGATACTACGGGACATTAACCCCGACACCAATTTTACGCAACGTGTTCGAAAATCCGGGCTGGTAAATCATTATAGTTTTGCGTATTTTGTTCCCTTGTCCGTTCCTTCGTGATGATTATAGGTAACTATTCATGCAATCCTTTCATAAAACTCCAACACTCACACAAGCCACATCAATTCCATAATTTAATAACACGCAGAACTTTTATAGTGTGCTAACAATCAGTAAATCTCAGTACAGAGGATAACGCTTCACCCAGTTTGGAGAAAGTATCGTAGAAATTACATCGTGAAAAACTTGACAGCCAGGTAACGAGTTTTGTCAGCAACTCAGATTAATATTTATTTTCTTAATTGTTTGGGATATCCTGATTCAGAAAAATAGTCAATAATCATCTGCAGAAATTCCACTCACAGGTTTATTACGACTCTGTATGGACATTTAACTCTCACATAGCGAGAAACAATTTTCATGTCTAAATAGCGAAGTATAAAACGAAGTACTATGGATGAGAGCCTAATATTCAACTGAGCCTCATGGGGCTATTAACTCTGAAGCCAGTATTCCCATGACTCGAGTGAACAATCGGATTCATCTTCTAAGGGAACAAAAAGGAGTTCTGTACCTTCCTTACACTAGAAACACATTAGAGAGCAAAATTGTTTTATTGACTCAATGCACCATTCAATTAAATGAAAAGATGCATATGAGTGTTGGTGAGATCCCCCGGAATCTACTTGTGTATTTTTTGGTATTTATTTTATTATGGTTCAAGTGTTGATTAGAAAACGTTAAAACGTGTGGTTATTGTGATCCGTGTTAGTAAATTGTAATACTTCAAATCTTCATTGATTTGACTGACTATATCCTTCGGACTTCACATTCACGCACAATCCTCAGTTCAGTGATTCAACCATACACTCGGAAGCACTAGACTCGAGTTTTGCTCTTATTATAATTCATCAGTAGTGCATATTCACCGTCCCGTCCGGCATTTGAATTCCGGACCCGTCGCATGGAAGGCGTGTGTGTTACCACTGTGCCAACCAGCTCATGCTATGGCTGAACCAAATTGCCAATCAAATGCAAAGATCAATCTAGCCTGGTAGGTATGGGGCCAGTCAGCCCGTAACCTGCATGGAAGTCATGTCTATGTGAGAGGCTTTCAATTGGGGTTAACAGTTTGTCATTTGAGTCTATCTTCGTTGCTGTCGGGTCAATTGAACTGACTGACTATCACTGAATGCAACACCTGAACAAACATGAACATTCAGTTTCTGAACGTTGTTCCATAGAGTTGGAATGTAACCTAATTCCCTGCCTAGCTATAAGTGGGCTTAAAGCAGGTAACAACGGTCGAGTTGGGTCAATTGAGGGTCAGCTGAGGTTTATTTGAGATTTAAACCCTTGGAACGGTCATCCCAATATTTTGATACTTCACATACCTCTGAGGTCAAACAGTAGGCCAAACAAACCACAACACAAAAATCTTTGAATAAAGAATTCGGAAACATGGGTTTACACAATCTATGTCTGGTCGACACAATGCGCCTCATCGGCCAGATAACTCGTCACCAGGAACGGGAGGACCATGTCACGTCTACCAGATGGATTAATTAAAAGATATGTCTTCTGCATGAACACGTGATCGGGGCAACATTTGCATTTTACCAGTTTTGCTCCCATGCGATACAAAATGATCCCGTTCGTACACTATTTC